AGGAGGTGAGATGACTGATAGGTCTGAATTTCTGAGGGATCTGTCAGACTGTGGAGAATGAAGGTTGAATTGGAGCGTAGCTGGTGTAGATGATTCAAGAGGCTATTGCAGTCATGAAGGTAAGAGATGGTCGTTCACTGAGGTGGCAACGGTAGAGATGCAAAGAATAAAATGGATTTGAAATATAATCAAGATGTAGAGGTTATGTCATTTAGGGGATGGCTGCCTGTAGGGGTTAAAACAGAAGAGTAAGTCAAAGATGCCTCCAGTTTTCTGATTTGAAGAACCAACGTCTGGTGGCTGCAGCAAGACACCCCAGAAAGACCAATTTTGAAATTGAGAGAAACTTGCTCAGTTATAGACATAATCAACACGAGGCATTTGTGAATTATATAGGTAGAGAGCAAGAAAACAGTTGTAAGTGTAGGAAATAAGAAGAGAATGTTTCACATACTGTGTTATCACGGTTCATTCTTTCATTCGACAATAACAAAATTGAGAGCCTGTCATTCTAGGCAAGATTTTGTCACTTAGTATTTAGAAGTGAATAAGACAGCCAATGTACCTGAATTTGGGGTTTTATTTAGGATAGGACTGATAGGTAGTCAGAAAAAAATAAAAAATAAAATAAACATATTCATATGGATTCAACCTGAATTAAATTTGAAATTCTGATTATAAAACACTTGTAATTAGTTATTAAGTTATTCATATAAATATTTCCTTAATATTTTTATCAGTGAACACATTAAAATACACTAATGCATCTTTCTCTTCTTCCTGGGGGTCTCAGGAGGCAGGACTACACGTAGCCTCTGCCAGGAGTCCCTCAGGGAGCAGGGCCACATGCAGCCCTGCCAAGGGAGTGCACCGAGGTGAGTTGCTCAAGGCGTGCCTTGAGCTATGGGCTGCCGCCTGGGGAGGTGATCAACTGGAGACCAGATACAAAGTTCTGGGGCTTAGCGCATGCACTGAGCAACTTCACTGGGTAAAAGCATGTCTTACATATGTTTTAGCCAGCTGTAAACCCTTCCCATACCGCCCTGTCTCCTAGGTAATCAATAGGAAGTCTATGGTTTGCAGTTAAGTTTTGTGAATTTTTGCTGACCCAGTCTTTTTGCATTTCTGCTAACAGTCTAACTCTGGAGAGCAAGAGTGTCTCCATCTTTAACGGGTGTTCTTCATTTTCCTCCACACTAACATATGTCTACTGTAAATCAGTATTATTTTCAAAATATTACAAGCTATAACTTTTGGTTTGTCCTTACAGCAAGCACAATGCAAATAGTTTTCTGCTAATTGTACCAACTGTGCAAATTAACTTAATAAAAAATTTGAGTTACAGTAAGTTTTACACACAATGAGTCTACTTTGAGGATTGGGATCGAAAAATGGGTGGCAGTGTTTAGCTTCTGTATTAGATCTATTTCTGTGGCTTATAACAGAATACCTAAAACAGGGTAATTTATAAAGAAATAAAATTTATTTCTTACAGTTACAGAAGTTGAGAAGTCCAAAGTCCAGGGAACACATCTGGTAGGGTCTTCTTGTTGTTAGTGGTGACTCTCTACAGCAATGCAGGTACCACATGGCGAAATGGCTGAGCAGAAGAGAGCTAACCTGTTCACTAGCTCTCCTTATACAAC